CGTTGAAAAAACTTATTTTTAAAGAATGATACATACTTTTTGGTACTAGATTACTAAACTACCCAAAAACCTAGAGATTGAGGTCTCTAAATTCTCATACTCCATTATTGGCATGTGATTTCTGCCAACTGTTCTCTTGAGTTTCTTCTAGTAGATGGTTATAAATCAGGTTTGTAAAGAGGAAACTCTCTGTAATTGTGCATTTTTAATGGGCTTATGATAAATCCATCAAAGTGGAGGGTCCATATGGTAGGAATGCAGTAAAGGTAACAGGACAGTGTCATGTAAACATTAAATAGTGCCTTCCACCTTCATAAATCCTCAATCCTCATGATTAAATGCTGCCTGTTATAAATTATGCAACCAAATTCTAGAAAAAAAAAATACAACTTATGTAAGTTACCAGTGGAAATCATAAGCTGTGTATGTTTTCTTCCCGGAAAACTGTTACATATTTATTAGGAGATAATATTCAAGTCCTTATTTTCCTCAAAAATGATATCCTTACCTTATTTAACTTCTTCCTAAAATAAGCAAGAACTCTGGGGTGGGTTGTCATGCCCTCCTCCAGGGGATCTTTCCAAGCTAGGGATCGAACCCAGGTCTCCCGCTTTGCAGGCAGGAGCTTTAACCTCTGAGCCATCAGGTAGGCCCTTGATTGAGTACAGGGCAATAATCTATCATTTCTATGCGGTGAAGTACTTTTTGATTTGCAGAGTCATTTTAAAACTTTAGGTATCTAAGATTTGCTCCTTTTAGAGTCATACATCAGAAGTTTCTTCAACAGCCCAATTTCACACTTGTATTTACAATCAAATTGTTTTATTACATGTGGAAACCATGAAACATTTGGTTCTCAGCTGTAAACTATTACTATATTCAATGATATTCATGGATTTTTCTTAGTCATGTATTTCTAATGCCTTCTGTGAGATGAATGTATGTGTATGTTGTGTGCCCTAAGCAAGTATATTCTCAGACATAATATCAAAAGCGATATTTCACACAGAGAATGCACTAACATTGCTTGATACCATCTTGCCACCTGCAATGATAACTTTAACCTAGTTCATTCTGCCCCACTGTCATTTTACTCCTCTTTCAGTTTCCTTCTGACAAAAAACTGGTGTACACGGCAAGAAGCAATTAAGGATTTGGCTAATTTGTTTTTTAGAGTTTCGTGCGGCTTCTACTTCTGACATATTGACATCAAAGTTGCCAGTAGTAGAGAGGTAGAAGAAATGTCATGATAAAACCAAATCAACTTTGGCTTGAATCTGGCTCTGTCAATTTCCAGTTGAATGACCTTGGGCAATTTACTTTTCTTGAGGGTGAGTTTTCATATTTGAAAAATGTGGATTTATCTAAATCATAGAGTGATTATGAGTGTCAGATGAGGTATATATTTAAGACAGAGGGCACAGCCTGCATATTCAGTGCACACTGATTTCTCTAATATCTTCCATACTCCTTCCCTGAAAATACTAATTAGCGGTATGGCTTTCCATTTTGAAAATATCTATCTTCGACTCTCTCGAGTTTAGGGATGCATTTTCTTCCCACTAGACTCCCCTTGTCTATAAGTGACAATCATGGGAGTAGCCCACAGCTGTTTTACTCACATCCAGAAATAAGACCGCCAGTCCCAGTTGCAAGGGCACTGACAGCTGTAGCCAGCCTTTCCAGTAGGCCAGAGCTGGAGCCGAGTGGTAATGTTTCAAGGGCAAAGCTCTAGATGTAAAGAATGATAAAACAAACCTAAATGAGCCTGAGCATATCTAGTGACAGATACACCACAGCTCTTCTAAATTATTCAGGCTTTCTCAGACTTCTAGCAGGAGAAACATAATTCATCGCTGCTCCCTTTATTCCACTTTCACATAATGGCAAAGGAGCAAACACAAATTACCCCACCACTAAAAAATTAGAATAGTCACTTGAAATGGAGAAGAGTTTCTCTAGCATACGTAATATTTTTAGACCCATCCAATTTCTGGGAGCCAACTTTGGAAGGAGAAGCTAAAAATGCTTTTGCAGTGCTAATGGGCGATTTCCTTCCTTCTCTTTTGTGAGCATTTTGCTGGCAGAAAGCCAGTGAAACAGTCATTTCATTACTCAGGACATCACAAACATGTAGCCTCTGATATAAGCTGTTACTGTATTTTAGCAGCAATAATACTAGGGTCAAAAGCAACACAGAAAATTAAGCTTCAAATAATAGTAAGCTTCAAATAAGCAAGCCTTAAAAGAACAGCTTTGTACATTGAATAATTAATAACTTGTTTAGGAAAATGTTACTGAAATGTGGTTTTGGACAAGGAACTTCAGAGGTTAGAGACCCTAATATTTAACAGGCTACCATTTGGTGGGCTGGCTGGCTGATTACCCTGTAGGCATGGCAAAGTTTGTTCTCATGCAATTATGCAACATTTAGACAATATCTTAATGATACCATGTAGTTCGGCTGAATCAGTCCAGCTGGAAATTGTAGCAGCATTCTGATTACCCAGCCACATGTGAAATTAAAGCTTTTTCAACCTCTACTATTCACTTGTTGTGTCTTGATACAGATGTTCTTGGCAAGCCTAAATTATTTATGGTTTGCCATTAACAGAGCAGGCTCCACCTCCTTTCATTTTCAACCATTGATTAGGATTGCATTACTATATAAGATATTAGAATTTTAACAAGGACTATCAGTTATAATTTGTCACATGCAAGACTAGTTTAGTGTACTTTAGACAATTAGGGTGAAAAATTTCCACTTGTTTTTATGTGATAAAAATTATATACTCTTCTTTTTGCATATAATTCTTACTGTAAAAATATATATATTTAATCCGTACCCTGGAAACCATCTTACTAAATGGTTAATCACACAGTGTAACATTATTTTAGAAAATAGTAATTTAAGACACATAGATAAACTACTATAGATTGGTCTTTACATCACATTATAAAGACACTTAAAGTACAGCAATAACATTGTTATTTGTAAAACAAAATTTTGCTCAAGAATAACACTCTGAAATTTTATTATATTTCTTTTATTTCCACGAAGTAAAAATACAAAGAAAAATTTCAGTCCCTGTACCAGCTCACTCTCCAGTAAGTGTTGGACCACTTCTTCGCCATCATCCTACCTGGATGGTACCATAGCTATTTTGTTTTAGAAGTGAATGAAAATATTAAGAATTTAAATTAATAACCTAACATTTATATATCATATCTAATAAATTCATGGAACAAATTTTAGCAAAAACAGTCATCATATCTGACTTTATTTCAGTTATTTCTAATGAATAAAAGCAGGAAAAATATTGGTAGGTAGTGGAGTACAGGTCCATCTCTGGTGATAAACATAAGATGGAATACTTTAAAACACTTATACAAATATTTTTATTACTCGTAAACATATTGCTATTTTAGTACATGGAAGTAGCAGCTGAGGAGGAACATAAGTTAATTTTGAATGTGAGTCTCCAAATAAGAAAAATAAGTCTTATTCTTATAAATCTTTATTTTAAAAAGATAATGCTAAGTTCTGGTTAACTGTCTTTCCCATTAATACCAGATACTTTCGGGGCTAAGGAATCTGAAATCTATGACTCTCATATTTAAGTTAGCTAGCAAATATTAATATATGCTTGGAATTCCCAAACAACTGACACAAAAAAGTCCCTTGAAAAGGTGACTTGGAAGCACCATGGAGATAATGCTAAAGTCATTAAAGATGTTGAAAGTCATTGTCTACTGTCTTCATTGTGCCATTACATAGCCTCGGGATCCTTTCAAATTGCAATCAGTAGAGGAGGAATAAGTCTCACCACTTGAAAGTAAGCAGGAAAGGAAGCCAACAGAGTAATCTGGCTTTGCTGGACTGATTCAAGAAGAGACACAATGTCCACCCCTCCTCTTCTAGTTCTCTCTCCCCCTACCCAGCCCACATCCCTGCAAGAAAGAAAGAAGAGAAAGAGCTAAGAAAGGAAAGAAAGAGGGAAGGAGAAAGGAAAACGCCAAGAAACCGAAGGATGGGGCATACTTTGTACTGAGGAGGAAACCTCATCCTATGGGATAAACCATAACCATGGAAACAGACTTATGACTTTTACTTTGAAAATAAGAGAATGACAATGAAATTTGTGTGAGGTCTGTGTGACTCCAGTCCCAGATGTTTATAGCACTGTAGTACTATGCCTCTGCAATATGAGAGGTTTCAGAAGAAACGAGTCCAACAGGACACCACAAAGCAGCGCATATGCTATTGACAACGCAGACGCGAGCATCATGTTACCAGAGGAGGCAGGCAGAAGACAAATAGCAGCGGTGGTGCCTGAAAAGCTAACTTCATGGACTGCAATCACTCAAACCAACAAGAGGGATCAACGACAACAACAAAAAATCAAAACCAGAAAACTGTTTTCCTCCTATCGAGACCTGGTGGTGGGGTAAAGAGATGGGGGTGGGGAGACAGTGAATTTGACTTTTCTCTCTTAAATAAAGTTCCCATAAAGTCCCTGCAATTGACAGCGGATAATTATTTTCAGCTTGCGGAAACTGTTCTGAAACTCTTAATAAGATTGCCAGCGAAAAGAACAAAATGTGTTCACTCGAGCCATTTCCAGAAGGGAGGGAAAGGAGACCTTGGGGTGAGGTGGGGAAGGACGCTGGAGACAGAGAGGGGCATCCATGCACTGAGGGAACTCTTGGGCGCCCTGCGTGGTCCTGCGAGTGACAAGCCAAGGAGACAGGGCAAATGGGGTGGCCAAGACAGTGGGGGGGTGTGGAGGGAGCGCGCCGCGGGGAGGGGGTGCTGCAGCGCATACACGGGGCGCGCGCGCGGGGGGGGGGGGTGATTTAGTGTGAAAGTATTCCACTTAATCATTTTACAGGAGTTGGGGACGTAAATATTTAGCTGGCCACATCTGGAACAGATTTTACCCCCCTTGTGGGGTGGGGGTGGATAATTGGAAGGAGGGGAGCGCGCATTTGTTACTTACTGTACGGGCAGTTTTCCTTCTTGGTACCGCTGACCTTCCCGTTCTCAATCTTGAGAAAGTACTTGGTGAAAGAGAATAGCTTTCTCCAGCGGACATCTCCTTGGAGGTGATTGTAGCTCCGCACATGCCTCCCCGCACTGGAGGGGAAGGAGACGGACGAGGAGGACGAGGACGAGGAGGAAGAAGAGGAGTTGGTGGCCCCTGGTGACACCATGTCCCGCTCGAGGGCTTGGCAGGTGACGGGGACGGAAGATACCAGGAACAGCAACAAGAAGCAGCAGCAGCAGCCGGACAGGTGGGGAAAGGCTGAGGCACAATGTGTCAGAATCCATTTCCACATTGTACTGAAACTCTCGGCACTGGAAATTGTCTCATCAGAAGGAACATACTGGAAGGGTAAGACCTGGTGCGAGGCAAGGAGACAGCTGGAGGTGGCGGCCGCTGGTTAGTTCCCTCTGGGCTCGGATCTGGCCAGAAGTGAAAGCACCAACATCCATAACTCCGCGGAAGGGCCGGCTGCCTCTCCTCGCTCCTTTCTCGGATTCGCTGCCGCGCGCCCCTGGGTCTCCCGGTGAATGTGGACGTGGGTGGCCGCAGTAGCAGGAGCTGGTGGTGGCGTGGGTCACGCTCGCTCTTCACTCCCCCAGGAGCTTACTTTGTTCTCTTCTTCACTCCTTTTTTCACCATGTTAAATGCGGGGGGGGGGGGGGGAGGCTGAAAAACAGATGACAGCGCGGGGAACAACACCCCAAAGGGTCGGGGTGGGAGGCTGGGGGAGCTATCTGCGCCCCGGTGCGGTTGGCAGCGTCTAGTCCTTCTCCGCACCAGCCCCCGGTTCGCTAGCCAGCTCTGAAAGTGCGTCCCTCGGAGTTGTCAGAACCGGAGGCGGCTGCCGGGGTAGCCGTTGTTTTCTTCGCCCTGTTGCTTTCTCTTTTTGGTGGTGCCTGTTGATTTGAAGCCTCCAGAAAGTCACTTCTTGTTTGGGGTGGCGGGGGGGATGGCGGTTGGTGTTTTGTTTGGCCCTCTTTCCCTCCCCCCCGCACCCCCCTTCCTTTGGAAAGCCCGCTTGTAAACAGGTTGAAGCCTGGAGTCTAAATGTCAGTGATTCTAAGCCAGAGGTGGGCTCTGCCTCCGCTGGTCAAACCTCATTTGCAGGGGTGGAGAAGCGGAGGTGGGGGGGACGGGGGGGCGGGTAGGAGGGAGGGGGTCAAACGGCGGTGGGACATCTGAAACCCTTGGCTGCTGGGAACGCCAGGGAGAGGGAGGGGGAAGGGGCTGGGAGAGCGGGGGAGAGCAGGGGAGCCGGGAGAAGGGAGCGTGATGCCTTTGCCCGGAGCTCCGGGACCCTGCCCGGCCCCCGGGGCCGCCGCAGCCTGCAGCTCCGCCAGCGCCTCCAGCTCGTGCTAATTGCAGCGAAAGCGTCCCTGTGTTCGGCGCGCGGGTGACTGGTGCGAGCTGTACCCTCGCGCGTTCCGAATGTTGCTTGCTGCCTTCCAGTCTGAGCCAGTCCCCTCTGGGGAGCCCCTTTCTCACTTGTTTTCCAGCGTACGATTTTTTTTTTTTTTCTTTTGGCAGTGAAGTACTTGAGAGCCACCTGGAGCCTGGTGCTTGGCTGACTTTTATTCCCCTCGCTCCCAGGAGGGGAGGGTTGAGGGAGAAAGCAGAAGATGCTAAGGATAAACCTTTTAAAGCAGCAGATTATAAACTGGTGGGACAAGCAGAGAAAAGGAAGACATAATTAGCTTCCTTTCCTCTTCTGCCAGCTTCCAAGGAGGTCTCTTGCTTTAATGAATCTCTGATTTCTCGCTTCCGTTGCTGAAGTAAAAAGTTCACACTTTGGCCCTCTCTGCCTTTTAAGCTCAGGGAGATTTATCACCACCCTTAAAAGTCTCCCCTCTCAGCGCAAATGAAATCAGGAACCGAAATGACCGATTTCTAATTGCTCACAAGGGTCATTTACAGAATCACGCGTGCACTTCAAAGCGAATTCGCCTTTATTGAGATTGCGAAGATTTAACCGTACGATTTGGCAGAATATTCTGTTTTGGTAGGCAATTTCCTTTGCACTTTGCCATGAAGGGGTATTTTTTTTTCTTCTGTATTCAATTTTAATGTTTAAATGGCTCTATTTTACAATATAACTGCACCACCAGTCACCTTTTTTTCACACTCACCACCCTGCAACTCCTTCATCGCTGACAGACTTGCTCCTGTCTCAGGTACAGACGGAATCAAGTCCCAGACTAGGAAGCCTTTGTCAAGGATTAAGAGGCACAAAGAAGGAGATACTGTGATAATCCTTTCAAATCTGAGTGAGAATTCCTGGAGATTCTCTTCAAGAACGACTTGACTGAGAGGAGGAAAGCTTGACTGGGAGGAGCCACTGAAGATAAATCATATAAAGTATTTATGTGAGGCAGTTGGACACATGAAATTGCCAATATTTTATGGTTTTTGACCTTCAAAAGTGGCAATTTCATATGGTTCACCCTAATTTTTAGGCAGTTATTTTAAGAGGGAGAATCACTTCAAGATGAACTTGGGAGTGTGACTTCTGTAACTGTAATTTGGAGAGAATTAATCAGGCGAGCTTGTGTATATACTACAAACCACAGCCCCTACAATGTGCATTTGGTCTTAGTCTACATTGAACAGGAGAAAATGCAAAGGAAAAAATCTAGCTTTGGAAATGGGATTTAGCAATATCGCAAATCATTGTTTGGTGACCTGATAAAAGACTTTACACACATGCTCTTCTATTTTCCTGTGCATTCAGGGTCTTTGAAACAGAACATTTTAATACTAGAATCAGGATTTTAATTGCATTATTTAAAAAAAACTACAATGCTTATGTAGAAGACTTTGGCAGTGTAGTGGACACAGTAGATTTTATAGTAGTAATATAATTAGCTCTGATTTCTGTAGTTCTTAATTAGAGAGTTAAGCAAATAAAGAGGCTGTGTCAAACAAGTCTGATTCTTTCATTAAAGCCTGGATATTTAAAAAATAAGCTCATGGTACTAATTTCAGTTTTCTAGTTCACAGTTTTACACCTGAGCTGAAAAAACTGCTGGAAAAAAAAGTCTAGTGTTGCTAAGGAACGAGAGTTTCAGTCCAGTTGTTCAGCAAAATCCAAATGTTTGAATGCACAACTAATTAAAACTACAGTGTTTTAAAAGTTATGTTTGATGAAACCATACAATAAAGATCCTGCCATGAAAACTTACAAAACACAGGAAGTTATTAGTTTGAGGTTTCTCTACAATGGACATCAACAATATTGGTGCCAGCTTAAGAGCCTTTAATTTTTTTTTTTTTTGGTAACTGACAATAGACATCTCCTCCCCACCTCGAATCTCAAAATAGTCTCTGTCTCTCTCTCTGTCTCTTTCACACAGGCAGCACACATACAGACATCTATCAACTTTCTTATCCAGGAGAAGAAGCTGTTCAAACCTTTAAGCTAGAACTTTGTGTTTTTATTCTGTCTTAAATGAGAAAAACACATCTTGAAAACTCCATATTAAAATCTGGTTACAGCAGGTGCAGTGTTTAAAAGTTCTAGAGCCCTTTCGCGGCTCTTCTGTACATCGTGATGACAGGAAGGGCATTTAGGAAACAGCCCAAAGGAAAAGCTGACATAGCTTTTTAGATTATATCTCATTCTTCTTTCTCTTTTCTGTACAGCCTTTCTTTTATAGCACAGTCGAATCCCTAAATACTCCACTGCTTTGCATTGTTAGGTCACCTCTTAGGTTAGCTGGAGAAAGCCTGAGAAAAGTTCCACAGGAAAGATGCACTATTTAACGGAATTCAATCTCTCCCAACAGATTTGAATCACTAACATAAATGTATGAATGTAGATTATATCTCTGTAATGAGGCCTGAATCATTCTCAGTTACTTCAAAGGACTGAAATTCTACCTTCCTTTTTTAGCAGCAATAATCAGGTCTTAATGGATTCCTTTATTAATTGTTTCTCTGCAAGGATTGAAAAGGACAGTACAAGCTTCAGAATAGTGGTACCAACTAATTCTAAAAGGCTGTTTTTCTCTTTTTTCCAATCTCTGGAAGGCATGCTTTATTTCTGTGCCCTAAAAATATCCAGTAATGTTAAACTAAATCTTTATTGGGGGAAATAGATGTGGCTTTTTGTTAAACATGATGTCTTGAGAAATTATGGAGGCTTTTAAAAGCAAGACTATGGCAGCAGCCATTGAGGAATCCTAAAATGTGGTTACTTAACCTCAGAGAAGCAGCTTGTGTGTTTGCTTCCAGATCCTTCAGTAGCTATTCTGTTGACACAGTTTACATTTTAAGTGTGTATTTCCTGAATTCTTTATGTTGCCTGGCACTATCTGTGGTTCACTTACAAGATGTGTGTTCTATTATGTGTGATGTTATTGGCAATGTCAGTAAGCTGCTTCAAATAATACTAAGGCAGGTCAAAAGTCAGCAAGGCTGTTTTACAGAGTAGACATGTGCAGGCCTCATTTCTAAAGTCTGCCGTGCAGCCCTTATGAGTATATGCTCCAGCCCATTTTTTCTTTTGGATACAGAAGATGCCAGTTTTAAGGTATTATGGGGCTTGTGACCTCCCAGGTTGCAGCTAGAGATGTTGTTAATAGTCATGATATTGGGGTCAGAAAAAATAGTGATATGTTATTTGTTTTTAACTAAGAATTTCAGGTGAAAGGAAAAGAGGTCTTACCTCATGAAAGTACTGCAGAGCCAGTGGGACTCTTAGCAATGTTTGACTCTGATATTCATTTTATAGGTGAATGAACATTGATGCCCAAGTCACTTAGTGGTAGAACAGTTCCACAGTGGTGGAACTCAGGTGCTAGGTTATGGGCTGTTGCCCTAATATTTTTGTAACACCTGTTTTGTCTATTTTCTCTTTTCTCCTCTCTGTTCTTCTTCTTATCATTGACCACTCATCACTCTAATTTCTGAGATGCCAGCAAGCAAGTGATAAGAAGGACTAGGAGGCTTCACTTACAAAAAACCAGCATTTCTTTGTCATACTAGATTAGCCCGAGAAAAATAATAAAATAGTTTAGTATTGAATTAAAGAATACCTGTTGTTTAGTCAAATAAATAAATATACATATATATAGCTCTCTCTATATAAATATAGGCAAAGGAGGCTATTTTATCTAAGTCTGTCAAATGAACACAATTGGAAAGCAATGTAGATATGTATTTCTAGAATATTCAAGGATATTTTAAAATATAAAATCTAAATTTATAAGTTATCTTCCAAAAAATTTCAGCATCTTCTAGAAAAGTAGATTTATAATTTGATTCTGCTTTCTGTATTCTAATATTAAATTTCCA